ACCTGCGCACCTGGGTAAGCACTTTTACCCAGTTTTTTGTTTTCATTTCATTTGGGCAGCCCATTCGGGAGGACCCAGTCTTGGAGTTTTGCCTTTCTGAAAGTGGTAACGACGTCCTTTTGAACTTTACTTTTTCCTGCANAAAAAACCCTCACAAACTTTGACGTGACCGGCTCCCAAATAGGGACGATAAGCTGTTTAAGAGGCATAACCTATAGAGGACTGCCCCTGGGTATTCATGACATGTTCCGAATGCTAAATGTGAAGGATTCCTTGTCTATGGTTTATGGAACGACCTAGTTATGCTCGATGGACTTGCTAAACCAGTACTTATTCAATGGGACAACGAGAATGTTCTGGAAACGGTCCAGTTTCTAGGGAGTAAGGAATCTCGAGGTTCCACTAAAGATTTCTAATTCGTATAAGTGGAAGTGGGTCCTAAGGACAGCGATCTCGTTTCCCTTCCCATTTCGGCATTCTTTCGGGCACATCTTCTCCCTCTAATCGCTTTTCACTACTTCGGAATCGAAAGCACTGTGTTTATGCGTGTGTATATCAAGGAATGACGACGAGACGGCCTGTCAACATCATCGTCGTCGCAGTCGTCGTCGGTTGCGCCGGCACATTCCACCACCGCCACCTCCACCGCCACCGTCGCTGTCGCCGTCGCCGTCGCCAACACAACACAACGGCTCCGCCCCGCTCAAACGCGCGTCAACCCGCCCTCCACGTTACCACCATCCGGCCCAACCGCGCTCGACGACAACTCATTTGTTTCGTCGTTGCCCCGAAACAGTCATGATGCTGCCCACTGTCGTCGTTGTGCTCTTCGCCGTATTGCTGTCACCCATGGCCGTTTTTGGTCAAGATGCCACCACCGACACGACGAGCTCACGACCTGTGTGCGGTGTGAATCAGCTGTTCAACGGACAAATTTGTACCTGCGCACCTGGGTAAGCACTTTTACCCAGTTTTTTTATTTTCATTTTATTTGGGCAGCCCATTTGGGAGTAACCAGCCTTGAATTTTGCCTTTCTCAACCTGGTAACGACGTCCTTTTGAACTTTACTTTTTCCTGCACCCAAGAAGAGAATNAATGGGTGATTCATTTGAATGGGGAAATGTTCGTCGGGAAACATTCCCTAACCTTCGATAGCTATTTAATGTTAAATGTTCCATGGGCAAAACTTCTCCGGGAATACTCTAAAACCTCGTTGGTGACCTTTCGATTACGATCTCGATACGTTCTCGCTTTGATGTGTTCCACTCAAAGGAGCGTCTGTTTTTTCCGGTTCATCTTCAACATTCTCGAATGTTCGATTAATTTATGGGTTGTAAATACAGTACCTCATTTATCAAAAAGTCTCTTCACTCCTTAAAAGGTGTCAGTTTTCTTTATTGCCTGAATTCCATAATAGACTTCCATCTAGATAAGAAGCGTTCCTTTGAACAATTTGAGTTCTTCTGAGAAGTTTCGGGAACCTTTGTTACTCACCCATGATGGCAGGTTTACAGCCATTTGGGAATTTTAGAGACAGACCCGACGTTTAGGGTGGCAGCCATCTGGGAAGACGCTTTCACGACCTCTCGACCTTGCTGGCCTAACTGTTTCCTTCGCTTCTTGAGAGCACTTCACGCTATCTTCTTGAGGCACTTTCACTTGCTTACCTCTTTTTTTCAATGATTTTTTTTCTCAAGTTCTTCCTACCACTCTCTCCATCCCTCTCCATGCCCCTCCGCTTCCCATCTGGGTGCGAAAGTTGCAATGTCTGCTCGAAACTACGCAGTTGTCCAAGTTTCTCCCGCGGATTTCTGGAAGCTTCCATGGGATTTCTATGTAAGGACACCACCCAGTCGTGTACAAATAACAGAATTGGCTTCCTCTTGCTTGCTTATTTAGCTATATAATGACTGAACTGTCCACCCAAATTCAACGCCTACTTTTAACGAGTTCGAATCTGATCATCCCGATGCTGGCAGAAACCCATTGTTGTATTGAGCATTTGACCTTGAAGCCCCTTCTAAGCAGTCCTGCGCCCACTTCCTTCCAGCGCTTGTAAGCCTGAAACAAAAGTGTCAGCAGATATCACGGAATTTCCTGGGAGGTTATGGGCATGTAGTTAGGTGTGGGAAGTTTCATCTTGTAGCACTTCTATGGGAGCTTCCAGAGAATCCCGATAGAAACCTGGGTTCTATAAAACTTTCGGCAGATACCTTTCGTACGATAAACATACCATGGGTGAACACCTTCACCTGCTTCAAGGACACCCATTTCCTTTGGCCACTTCCTGCGGTCCACCCTTTTCCTGTAGTCCAGCCACTTCCTGTGGTCCCAGAAATCGATTTGGTTTCATTTGGAAAACATCGAGAAACTAGATTGCGATCCATCAAAATAGCAGCCCCGTTTTGCAATTATATACGTAAACGACCACTCCCACTTGGTGAAAGCATTCTCGAACTCATCAATAGTGACGCCGTTGACCTTTTGACATCTCGATTTTTCATCTCGTTTACGTCGTCATTCAATGAGGGGAGACGGAAGAAGGGGAGACAGGATGGGACGGGACGGTGGAATGGTGGTGGGGAGGGACGATTGAAATTTAATACGATGTGCCACCAACAAATCGCGTTTTTCGCATGTTTTCCTCGGCGTTGTAACCAAGGTCATTATGCCTAAGCTAACACATTGCTACCACATTAAGGACCAGGGTCGCCTCGCCCTCGCCTTTCATTCCGTCAACCCCACGAGAACCATCCTAACTTCCTCATACCTCCCACTCTGTCACCTCACCTTAGCTTATAGTGAACTAGTCTAGTAATAAACAAAAAAGTAAAAAATGATATGGTAAAAAATCATGTCAAGCTGTTGGTAATTCTTAGGGAACCACCCGTGAGGATGAACTGCCCTGAGCGTCTATTCGAAGTAGCTACAACCAGGAATAGGATGGTCCAGATGAGTTGGCCTTCACAGTAGTATCTCTTGCTTAGGCAAACATTCCCTCCTACCAACTTTTGCGACCACTTTCTCCCTCTCTGTTGATCCTCAAGAAAATTTTGACAGGGTACTGTAGGCAGAACCGGTCAGATCCCTTCATTTAATTTTTCTTTGGGATCGGGACTGGGTAGGCAGTGGGATCGGGACTGGGTAGGCAGAGCAGTCGCAGGTCGTTATCACCTATTATAAATGCCCTGTACGGGAATCTCCTGCTGAGCCTTTTCGTTCCTTTACGATCTCCGGTAAAGATACCAATCAGTAAACAGCAACGGAATTTCAAGGGAAACAGACAGTAAGGAGAGACAGGCAGCCCCTACAAGTCCGTTCTCCTTTTCCATTGGAGAAGGTACCCCGAGATGAAGTGATCCATCTTTCAAGTAGAACTATTGGAAAGTAGTGGTGGTGTCTGCCTGAAAGTAAATATCCTGTTCTCGGGCTTGGTTCTCAGTTTCCCGGATCTCGAGGTTTGATGTCATCAATTGGGTCAACATCTCAAGCAACCACCGAATGTGTTTCCCGTCTTACAACAAACATTACTTCTAATGAGATGGATTTCGCCGAAGCAGATTGAAATCTTCCTCACACCTGGGTCAATGCTGTATAGATGGGGGCAAAAACATTTTCTTCCGGAAATCGTTCTGAACGAGGTCTCGACCATTCCGATGTCAGGGGAAGCGTTTGTGTTTTATGTATAGTTTGACCTTTCCGGGTAATTGCACAGACGTCTAAGTAAAGGTATTAAGCTATTTATTCCACATATAGGTTCAAAACGCTCTACTGGTGCTTCAGCCATTAGGCTGTCCCTTTACTTTCCACAGAAGGTTTCTTACTTTCTCTGCCTGGATGAGGCCGAGCTGACTTGGGAGGAAGACGATCTCCGCACCTATAGTGATTACATTCTCTCCCACGTTGGTGCAAATTCGTGGCCCTCACCTCGTACGCTAGGAACTTTTGATTGCCCACTTTTATGGATAACTGCTTTGAGCCCTCCTCCCCCTCCCCCTTCTTCTGGGAATCGGTCCCATAGTCTCTCTAAGGGAAGGTATCACGAAAAAAACTCTCTTACAACTATTACTGCATCTAGAGCAGCCTAGCAAAATAAGCCTGATGACCTACTAAAATTGCAGCATGGAATGGACTTGCAAAAAGACCGAGCGATTATGTCGATTTTTGTAGAGGCGCCGTTATTGCGCATTTATGGTCGATTGGTTAACTAGTTCAATTTTTGCAAGGAAGAACATCCGACCGTTATGTTTCATAAATCGCTTCGGTGTTAACGAAATTTTCACTCAATTACCACTACCTGTAGATATAAAACAGTATAGGATTGTCATATGCATATTCGAATCGTGATCAAGATCTGTGACCTTGATGATGACATGGCGCATCCTGAATAAGTGTTCGTCATGCTTATAGAATAGGATCAAGCGGTTTAGAGGGAAAAACGGAAATGAGCGATGAGACAGATTAGTAGAAGCGCGGAAAGGATACCTGAAATACCGCCCAGTTGAGGGGTCGGTCGTCACAAACTCTTTGCATCTGTTGCCACCATCCAATCATTATACCGACTTAGAGGGGTAGCCCGTCATGATGTAGACAAATTTTCGACAAGAAGAAGTTTGGAACTCAAAAACTTCAGAGGTTTCTTAGGTGCCTTCTATTCCCGTACATGGGACCTACCTAGGAAGATAGATCCACTAGAAGGGTCCAGCAGAAGCCAGGCTGGTCCCGGATGGAAAAGAACGGTTATTGAAAAAGCGAAGGATCTGACAAAGGAGAAACTAGGACAGGAAGAACGAATGTGTGTGTGGCTTAGGAATGAGCCTGACAATTAATATGGCTCATACTACACTATTAGGGTAAACTAGTAGTAGTAAGGTCAAACCTGAGATGGTTTTCTAAAATCTTTTAAGGCACATCGCTTTTCCCTTCCTCACCCCCCCCCCCTTTTCCCTGCCCTTAAAGTAATTTACGATTTGATATGGGTTAAAAAGAGGATAAATAAGTCGGTACCTCATCTTAACGGTAGAACATCTAACCAGCCTTTTCTGATGAAATCTCACTGTAAGGACATTTTTTCTTGTCCTGGCTCCTGTCAATATCGCTCAATGGCAGAACCAGTCCTCTAACCGGTAACCACAGGATCCTGAAATAGCCCTGATCACTGGTTCTGCTAATTCACCAAAAAGCCTGCGGCCATAGGGCCCAATAGGAGTTTTGTAAGCGCCCTTAGCTGGGCGCTATTATGTATGCCAGTCCTTCATAGCGTGAATAGCAACGTAGCGTTTCTGTTCGGCAACTGGTTATCAGCCATTATTTTCGTTTTATCGCCAATTGACTGCACGATGAAATCTACGCCATCTGGCCTGTTTCCGCTGCCATACTACGAAGCCGTAGGATTTTTTGTTCAAGAAGCTCTTCAAAATGGCTCCCGCAGGCTTTCCTTTGCGTATGACGGTCCGACCAGAATCATTGCCACCGTTTTTAGGAATCCCCTATCAGAGTTTACGAATGGGTAAAGGCGAAGTAGAACTCGGTAGAAGCCTTCCAACGGTTCGACAAAGTTGCGACGTAAACGCTCCCTAACAGATGGAATGCGACAATTACCTCTCGCTCGTGGTGAATGGGGAAGGGCATTGTGACGTAGACACCTTGGGAGTTTCCAATTAGGGCAAATCAGTTTGCATGTAAATTGCGCATTACCAGTAACAAAAAGGATCAACAACAGGGACGGAATCGAATCAGTACAGTGATACTAGTCGTAGGGTAATAGGCAACAAGACACAATAGTTGCGGACAATACACTTCATTTTACGACACTAAATCATTTTGACGTAGGACCTCGCCATTCCCAGTGCCATAAATAAGAACCAGTGTTAATCAAATACTCAACAAAAGAATTAGAAAGGGGACTACGACTGAGAACTCAGGACGACCTCTCACTGGAGTTTTTGAGCTAAAA